AAACTGAAACATTTATTTAATCTTTCAGAAGGTAACCTGGAAAGACAAACACTAGAAGATGGCTGGAAGATACAACAGCTGAAATATTCTGACAATAACAACAAAGATGCGGATATTAGTCTGTATGTACCATATATTCTAGCATTTAAGGCAACTGGGCGTAAAAGACAGCTTCCAAATTTTCAAAATATGTAGGTTTCGGGTTATATTCAACATACAAGACTACACCACCCCTTTCAACTTGAAACCTGCTTCATATTTCCATCTTTTACTGGTAGTTGGTGGGGCCATGATGGGGTCTTTTGATAGGCGGATTCTAATAATTTTAGACTGGATAATGCAAGTAACAAAGCAAGAGCTTGCCCATCCTCATCTGCCAACAAGAACTGGCTTGTTAGCTAAAATATAATTACCAGTGTATTCCTTGAATTATTACTATAAATATTTTTTTCCTGAATGCTCTGTCTAGCAAAGCACTTTAAATGCATCCAAGGCTAACAATTGCTTTATTTGCAGTGTGTGACAATGCTTTTAGTTTTCTCCCTTGATGAATATGTATTTTATTATTATTGTGCCATCATAGCACATATTATATAAGGAAAGAGTACTTTTATTACACTACACTTTTATTATTTTATTATAATAATGTGAATTAAGTTGTTTCAGTAGAAAATATTTGCGTTGATAGTTACCAAAGCAGAGGTTAGCCTAATATCAAAAATCTCCCATGCTAACAACTTACCATAAACCACAGGATTTAAGGTTCACATTTTATATACCTGGGGTATAAGATGGCTGCCTAATTTTGGGGTGATTTTTTAAGGTTAAAAGCTCACCTTGTATGCTGACATCATTTGGTAAATAATAATTCCTCATTCCAGAAATTCAGACAGAAATTATCTTGCTGATTAAAGTGACCTGCCAAATAACATTTCCTCCGAAGTCTGTTTGGCAAGTATAAAAATAAATAATCATCAACTTAATCATCTTATAGGAAAGAAATGCTATTTCCAACACAATTACATACCAACATACTTACCATATTAAAACACATCCAAAACATGATTTTCTACCCAATAACAGACAATATTTATAAATATGGTAAAAAAACGATTACACAGTAAAACACACACCATTTAAATGGACAGTGCCTATTGGTTTGAAATTAACATCATCATTGTGAAATATATGATCAGTCAGAAAAAACGAAGACCCTATTTTTCTCGAGGCAACTTTCAAGAAAAATTTCTCATAAGAATCCACTGATTTTGATTTTCAAGAGCAGAGATGCAACTTCCTCCAAACTGTTCAAACAGAAGAGAAGACATGGCTACAAAGTTTCTTCCCTACCACCCCGCATGTGCTGAAAGATGAATCATCTTCAACAGCAACACTAGGGACGAACAGTGAATGATCAAAGTCTTTTCTCAGCCACAGATTTAACTGTGGACCAACTAACATAAGTCTTTTCCAAATCACATATTTTTCTGTGGATCAACTACCCAAAGACTTTAAACTCAACTAAAAACTATTTTTACTCCTTTTTTAACATTTTTGAATTCATGTTTATATGTTTGTAAATACAAATGATCTATTTAACAAGCAGGCCCATATTTTCTTTATTTTTCTTTTATTATTTTTTGGAATTAAGACTTTCAAATTTGTAATATAAAAAATATAGACAATCAAATTTCCTACATGTACAGAGTGCAATGGATAAATTATTGTCTAAATTATGCAAAAATGAAAATAATGCTTTCATGTCATTTTAACAGATATATTTACCAAAATTACACAAAAATATCTTGAAATACTAAAGAGAAAATTTATTCAATAAAACTGCCATTGGCTTCAACCACAGCATCCTGATGAATTTGGAATCTCCTGCAACTCTTCTGGATGGTCTCTTTGTTTAAATTGATGAATGCTGTCATAATCCTTGCTTTCAGTTCATCTTTGGTATTACAAGGAGTTTTGTTGGTCTCTCGTAGAACTGTACACCACACATAAAAATGAAGGTGGTTGCAGTCTGGAGAGTTTGATTGGCAGATGTAAGGGATGATGTGGCTGCAAAAATTGTCTGACAGCCATGACTAGGCTCTCTTGCGTGTGTTGCATGATGCAGAGTCCTGTTACCAGCCATAGGCTCTTTCAGCAGCTGCCCTCTTGACCCAGGGTAGTATTACCTCCACAAAGCACTTGATGCAAGACTCCATCTTGAGTTTGAGGTCCTCTTCAACAAATTTGGGAATTCTATTCTTATCAAAATGATCAGAGTGAGTTTTCCAAGCTGTCGTATCTTTGTAATCACCAACAAACTCACCCAACTCTTTCTGAATCCTTTGCACTGTCCTCAGATTGACAGCCAAACACTCTGAAATTTTCTTATTGGAGCTTCTGGTGTGAATCCCAGGCAGTACTGCATGCCATTTCCAAATTTCTGGCAGAGTGAATTGCATCATGGTGCTCACAGACTGTGCCCAACTGACCTTACTATATATACTGTACAGCTGACAAAATCCAAAACAAATAACATGCATGTGAAAAATTAAAAATATAAAATGTCAACAATTTACCCATCATGCCCTGTACATCCTACTATCATCATGAGAGACCTAAATGCTGAAATAGGAAAGGAATAGAACTGTATGAAAATCAAATCAAAAAGATCAAATAATAATAAAGAATAACAAAAATAAAAATAAATATATTTTCCCATGATGCTAGTGATAGAGGAACCAGAAAGAGTTTTGGTTGTCTGCACAATTTTATGACCCCCATTTTCAAAAATGACAGAATCACACTCTCTCTTTCCACTTCCCAATGCATAGCTGATGAAGCTTTACTTTGATCATTCCAACTCGGCACAAAGCTGACTTGAGCATAATTATTATATCCATTCTTATCATTACTTATCTGAAGTTACTTCTGGACTAGAAAAAGAAAAAGAACATACCCAAGAGACGTTGAGAACTTTGTTTCCCTCCAGTTTCTATAAAAAAAAAAAGAATAATCGGTCTATCACACACAGACACCTATAATGCATCAACACACTAACTTAAACAACTATAAAACTAAGAAATTGTTCAAAAGTATGGATTAAGATCCCCTAACAAACATGAAAAAAAAAGATCTGATGTTGCACAGCAAATGAGCAAATAATATCCAACACCTGGTTTTCAGAGGACCCAAAATGTGTACCTCCAAAAGGAGACACAAAGATCCAGACTGGAGGCATAACAATCAATAAAAGATTCAGGAATGCTGTTCTACATGGTAAAATCTCTCCAGGTGCCAAGTGTGAGCAGGGTTACCTTCCACCCATATGCAAATTCAAGCTAAAATTACAGAAAACCAAAGCAACATTTTGTGGATTCCGAGATGAAATCCAGTCTCAAATGAATGACAAACGCAGGAATGAAATATAGCAAATAAATGTATTGATGTAATAATACAATTGGTAATACGGTTAATAGATCCAGAAATGCGGTTAGTAGCAATAATAATATATATACAGTCTGGGAAATTCAGTATCAAAGTATGACTTCCTTCTGAGTCTATGTGCTCGCAACTGTGACTCCTTTAAAGCGGTTACCTCACACTCTCACTTCCGGGTATTCACCAGCAGCAGTACAAGTACACACTGGGTGAGTCCACTTGTATTAAAAGGGGTGGACCCCTTAACACCCCCCTCCTTAGATCCCTTTTAGGGGGGGAGTTAGTATTTTTTTCTCTTATGGTTGATAATCAGAGGTTCGGTAAATTTTCTCTTCCTGTTTGACCTTCTAATTTCTGTTTCTTCCTGTGGTCTTTGATCTCAAATGCTTCGAAGATTGCATCCATTGAATCGTCGTTTTCTGCAGGTGACGAGCTTGGCTCCTCAACCCGTCTTTTTTGTAATTGGTCAATATGTCTTCTATGTGAAAACTTCTCTCCTTGTACTGTGTTCATCACATTTCCTAATCTGTTAATTATTATGCCAGGCTCCCAGTAAGCCATATTGTTTCTAAACATCCTAAAGTAAACCCGTTCTCCTGGTTTAAATGATCTCTTGGGTACAATAGGTGTATACTGGTTTTTGTTCTTGTTTGGCAATAATTTGTCAAACACAGACCTTATTCTCCGGCAGCAGTACAAGTACACACTGGGCGAGTCCAGTTGTATAAAAAAGGGGTGGACCCCTTAACACAACACCTAAGCTACAATAGGTCAGACTACAAAATGCCACAACTTACGTACACTGACAAAGTGAAGAACAAATATAACAGGAGTAACTGGAAATTCAAAGTATAAATGCATTAAGAGAAGCTTTAGGGACATCATCAAATGCAATTATCCTCAGAAAAGTGAGACAAAAAAAATATAGGATTGGATGTCTATGCAAAAATATTTGGTAAGATTCAACACAAAGATCTATTTAAACTCCATAAAAAACTTAATTTATTTGAGAAAAGATATTAGAATAATCCAAAACATTTAACAACAGCAATCCACATACATACTGATAAAAAAAGGAATTGAGCAAATAGAAAGAAGCATAAGACAAGCAAGCACCTTCTCACCAGATTCATTTAATATTTACACCAAAGTGATCAAAAGAGAACTAGAGGTCCTACCAGGATTTATTACTAATGGACTCAATCTTAATAATATAAGATATGCAGTTGACACAAACAGAAAACTAGAGAAAATTCTTTATATGGTACTTGTAGATAGTTGTGCACGAAGGTTCTTGGTAATTATTTTATCAGAACTTCAGAAATAAAACAAATTGGTTTTGGCTCACTAATGGGTAGTTTTGACAGTTGAGAAGTTAGAACTTGATAGTAGTAATCACTGTAGAAATAGGTCAGTGAAATCTGCTATGTTTTACTAAGAAGAGCAGAAAATAACATTGGCAGACGAGCATATAACTACTTCATGTATCACATATGACTGGTTTCCCTGGCCATTGCATCTCTTGCTCCATGGGTTTCACTTCCTGACTTTTATCTTGTTGCATGGATTCTCTTGCCATTCCTTCTCTTGTTTTGTTGTTTTATCTTGCTGTATCTTTGCTTGTTCCAATTTTTCTCTTGCTCTGTGGTTTCTCCTGGTGTCCCTTCTCTTGCTCTGTGGTTTCTCCTGGTGTCCCTTCTCTTGCTCCTTGGTTTCTCCTGGTGTCCCTTCTCTTGCTCCGTGGTTTCTCCTGGTGTCCCTTCTCTTGCTCAGTGGTTTCTCCTGGTGTCCCTTCTCTTGCTCCGTGGTTTCTCCTGGTGTCCCTTCTCTTGCTCCGTGGTTTCCCCTGGTGTCCCTTCTCTTGCTCCGTGGTTTCTCTTGGTGGCCCTTCTCTTGCTCCGTGGTTTCTCCTGGTGTCCCTTCTCTTGCTCCGTGGTTTCTCCTGGTGTCCCTTCTCTTGCTCCGTGGTTTCTCTTGGTGTCCCTTCTCTTGCTCCATGGTTTTTCTTGGTGTCCCTTCTCTTGCTCAGTGGTTTCTCCTGGTGTCCCTTCTCTTGCTCGGTTTCTCCTGCCATTCCTTCTCTTGTTCTGTTGATTTCTCTTGCTGTCCCATCACTTGTTCCGTCACTTCTCTCACTCTATGGTTTCTGTTGTCACCCCTTGTCTTCCTCCGTGGTTTCTCTTGCTGCACCTTCTCTTGTTCCAGTGTTTTATCTTGCTGTCCATTCACTTTTTCCGTCCCTTCTCTTGCAACCTGGTTTCTCTTGCTGCCCCTTCTCTTACTCTGTGGTTTCTCTTGCCTTTCTTTCTCTTGCTGTCCCTTTGCTCATTCCATCCTTTCTCTTACCATCCCTTCTCTTGCTCCATGGTTTCTCTTGCCCTCCTTTCTTTGGCTCTGTGGTTTCTCTTGCCGTCCCTTCTCTGGGTCTGTGGTTTCTCTTGTCATCACTTCTCTTTCTCCATAGTTTCTCTTGCTATTCCTTCTCTTGCTCCATGGTTTCTCTTAATGTCCCTTCTCTTGCTCTATGGTTTTTCTGGCCACCCCTTCACTTGTTCCATGGTTTCTCTTGCCATCCCTTCTCTTGCTCTGTGGTTTCTCTTGACATTCCTTCTCTTGTTCCATCTTGCTGTCCCTTCGCTTGTTCCATCCCTTCTCTTGCCGTCCTTTCTCTTGCTCCGTAGATTCTCTTGCCGACCCTTCTCTTGACATCCCTTCTTTCATCTGTCAGCTTGTATCCATTTGATTAGGCTCCCAGACCCTGGTGTGAACCTTGGTTTTGGCTAACATCAAAAGTTTGTTTATTTTTATTTTAATTTTCTAAACTTCCTTTCTTTTTCCTTTTTTGTTATAGAGCAGAAGTTATTCGTGCATCCTGTCTTATTTTGGTAGATTTATAGTCATAAATAAGTACACTCTGGTCCCGCAAACCCCTGGTAGTTTCGTCTGGGTTGTGTCTTTTTGTTGTTTCTCTTTTCATTTGTGAGTTGCCTTCTCATTAGTTGAGAGAGAAGTTTAGAGAGAAAGAGAAATAAGGGTTTTAGATATTTCATTCTTATATTTTATATTATTTTTATCAATGTTCATACTAAAGGAAAGTGAGAAGAAAAGACTAACCATAAATTATAATCAGACAGAATGAATCTACTGTCATTAGCAAAAGGAAGAGACAAAGATATGTGCTACAAATTAGAGATATATCACAATTAGGTAATTGCAAAAATTTAACTAGCTGAGAAGTGTTTTAAAAGATGAGGAAAAATGTGACACTGAAATCTGAAGTCACACTGGAACAGCAAAAGATGCCTTCCAAAAGCTAAACTAAGTATAAAGAAACAAGTAAATTTAATTAGCAACAAAGAAAAGAGTGCTGAATTGCTATGTAATATCAATCTTCCTATAGTGAATCCTGAACAATTTCCTCAGACAAAAAGTAGATGAGTTACCAGAAATGTGGCTCCACAGAAGGATGCTGAGAATATCATGGATGGAACATATGAGCAATGAGTAAGTATGTATGTGTCTCTGGGTTCTAACATGTATGCCTCTGTGTATGCCTGTGTCTATGACCATGTGTGCTTGTTTATGCATATGTTTATATGTATCTTGATATATGATATCGGTCCAGCTGCTTTGAATATCCTGAAAATCAGTCATATGGTCTTGGCAACCAACCAGAGAAGATGTTACTGAACATTTATTAACAGACACTCTCTCATTAGGTTATTCACTTGGCAGCAAAATGCCACTTGTGTAGTGTGACCAATGCATTCACAATGATCAAGACTGCTCATTATGTGCAAGGATTTTTAGCAAAACATTGCCTCACCAGGGTAATTCAAGCTTCATACCATTCCGATCCAGGTCCCAGGTTCTTTGGCTTATTGCCAAAGCTAAAATCATTGTTAAAATGCTATGGGCAAGATGAAGCAGTTGATGGTGATTCTAAAAGAGGACTTAACAAAATGTTTTGAAGAGTGAAAGGGATGCTGTGATAAATGTTCTAGGTCCTAACAGGAGTACTTGGAAATGGAACAAATTTGCCATTGACCCCCTGGGGGAGATATCTTTGCATTAATACTAAAATGCTGGATACTTTCCGGACCCGCTGTATTTATGTGTGTGTGTATATAATTACAAATAAAACTGTAATACCTCAAATTTTCATGGTAACTTCATGTGCATTTTTTGACAAATGATGAAAATGTGATGCCCACAACAGAATTCTTATTTTAATGTCAAACAATAATACAAGAATCATCAAAAACACATTTAACATAGGATAAAATTATTGGCTCTCTTGCATCAATAATCAATTGTGTAACCTTTATTCTTGATTATTGCCTTTAATCATTTTTCCTAGTTCCTTACAAGATCACTAGACACACAGATTGGTATTTTGCTCCATTCTTCCTTGGCAATTTCTTCTAGTTCCTCCAAATTTGAAAAACTTTTACATTTTTTTCTTCAAATATGTCCATCAATTTTCAATAGGGTTTAGGACAGAACTTTGTGCATGGTACACCAATAACTTAATTTTGTTGTCGTCAAAGTATTTTGTAACAATTCGTACCATGTGTTTCAGGTCATTAACATGTTGCAACATCCTGCGATGCCCCAAAGACAACTTTCATGCACTTTGCTTTATATTATTTTTAAGATTAGCCAAATACTGCTCTTTATCCATGATACCCTGTAATCTCACTAGTTCACCTGGTGCAGAAGCAACAAAACATCCCCAGAGCAGAATGCTCTCACCACTGTGCTTAATTGTAGGGAGGGTAGTTTTTTGGTTTGTCAGCTTCATTCAGTTTCCTCCAAACATAAAAAGAATGCATGTGACCAAATAAATTTAGTTTGGTTTCAACTGATCATAAAACAGAATATTAATATTTAATCCCATGTTCTAGATAGCTTCTAGCATAAGATTGAATTTTAGGCATTGAAACTTGAGCAAAGAAGTTTTCCTTGGGCAACAACCTCAAAGTCCTGCTTGATAAATGTCTCTAGTGACTGTCTTTGTCAATACATTTAACCCTGATGTCTTTACATCATTGACAATGTCCTTTGTCATTAAATGAGGATTCTTCAAGACATCTCTAACAATATTTCTGTCCATTCTCTCAGAAATTAACCATTTTTTCCAGTGCTTAATTTATTTTCAACACAATGAATCTCATATTTCTTGATAATTCTATGAATTGTTGATCTTGAAACATTTATACACTTGGAAAGTGTTGTATATCCATCACCCTGTTTGTATATATCAACTATTTTGATTCAGAGCTTCTTGTCAAGTTTAGCCATCTTTGCCATGGTTGCAGAATGAATGAGTTATCATAGTACGTGGCATTCACATACTGTCTTCTTCATTACTCTTTACAATGTTATAGAATCAGGTCAGTAATATTTCATTTTCAAAGGCTGTTTGTATTAAATGTCAAATTAAAAAAAAACATTACAACTGTCACAGCAATAGTCTTTGATAATTTCTATAAGTGGGGGGGGGAGAAACCTTTGTAGGTTTGCCCGGCTCTTTGGATCTTGGACTTGGATGCTAGATGATTATTTTCAGCTAACGTAAATGTTCTTTGTTCTTCCTTTTTTATACCTTTTTTTTTCCCTTTGGTATTGGTTTGATTATTTGCACATAAAGACACTGAAGGTTCTCCGGACAAGTATAATTTCTCATAATTTCTTATACTTATAAGATTATTACTAGCATATATATATATATATATATATATATATATATATATATATATATATATATATATATGTGTGCATGCATTTTTTACAGTGGGGTTCACCCTGTAGAAGACCAGGGGTTCACTCCAGGTAGTGAGCTAAAAAGAAAGAGTCAAGGGAAGTTAACAGTAGACTTGAACAGGTTAAGATTTTAGTGATCAGGGAAACATCTGCTTGAAAGTCAGTTCCAAAGTTTGCGCGAAGAAGGTGCTCGAGTGGAACTGACACCTCACCAGGATGAGATGAAGAGAATGAGGGTGATATAAGGGAATGTGTTTGGCATGTCAAGTCTTAGACGTCTGGACCAGAATCTGAACACTCACCGTGGAGATAGTGAAAGAGCAGCAAGATGCTTGCCACATCCCACCTGTGAGAGAGAAGTTTATTTGTCATCCACAAGGCCTTTCGGACTCTATCAAGACTAGAAAATGATGACTGTCCATATATGACAACAGTACTTCATTTTAGGCATGACCTGGCCCTTGTAAAGGTAGAGGATAGAATGAAGAGTCATATACTTACTGAAGCAGTACAGGGAACCTAGCATTTTTCCTGCATCTTTAGTGACGAATCATATATATGAGTGCTACTTGAAGTTAGAGGTGTGTTTTAGGCCCAGTAGTCTATCAAGGCGTGGTGCCAACCTGAGAGGGTATCTACTCATCGTGACTGATGGGAGTTTGGGTAGGTGGTGATTGGCAATGGAATGTAACTAGTTTGGTTTTCCAGGTACCGAATGCAATCAGCCAAGTTTTCCCCCACTGCGATGTTAGAGCTAGATCAGATGAGTGATCAGTTGCTAATCTCTGGTCATCACAGGTTTTGGAGGTGCACCCATATATTGTTGTAGAATAACAATACAATAAACAGCACTTACTGGCGTAAAGGTCCTAGCTAGCATCCAGCTGGCAGACAAAAATAAAGCAGGTTGTAACTCAATACAAACGCTGCAATCTAACTGATGAATCAAGCTGGTATTTATATAGAAATAACTCCACTCAGGTACCAGCAGCCAATCACAGCCCAAGCAATGGACTATCCCACTTTAGCACAATGAGATGCTCCATGGCACCATAAATAGCTCTCTTTCTAATGGTGGAGTTATTATTCACTCAGCTAGGAGTGAATTTGTTGTTTTAGTGATAGGACTATTGTTGGTATGTTTGGGTCAGTGTTTGTGGCTAGCTAAGTTTAGAATTAAGACAGAAGACCGTCCTTCCCCAACCCCCTTTTTGGCCTTGTGCCACATTTTGTACAGCAGTACGAATAAATAACTATTCACTCAGATTGCTCTACAACTGAGTGTTTATCTTGACTACGTGATTGCTCTACAATTATCATAAATATTCACAAATGATCTGAGTATATTCATAAGCAGATTATTTAATTAAAGTAAAAATTGGTTTAGTTTGAGAAGTGACTCCCATTGAATGTCTGTTTTGATTGTTAGGACTCCAGAGGACTAGCTGTTAACAACTAGCTACAGGGAACTATCCATTAGGAAGGATATATATATATATATATATATATGTGTGTGTGTGTGACAATAACACGGTTAATTCCTAACAGAACTTGTAGTTCTGGGTTAGATATTTATGCATTATTACTACAAGGTGGAATACTTTCTAGACAGACTTTGTAGTTGTGTATATGTGGTAGACTCTTCTGTGGTATTCAACATATGAGGGTCAAACAGCCCTGTTCCTAGGAGCCGACGTATGATTTGATTATAGTGGTGAAGGCTTTGAGCAGAACCAACCACACATTTTGAAGGGCCGAATACAGAGACCTGGTGCACCGAATGCCACAAGGTCCCCAATTGACCCTCAACAGGTTTTGAATTCAGAGTTGTCCTTCTCCTATACCAGTTGCCATCCAAGGCTATAGAACCCAGTCTGTCCTGTTATTTACCCATAGGGAGAAGAAGAGGATTAAT